GAGGACCACATTATGGTTAGACTCGATAGAGTTCTTGGATCCTCTTTCGTTTTCAATACTTTGCCTCAAGCCCAAGTTACTCACTTAACAGAATCGGGATCTGATCATTGAATGATTATTTTATATCTCGAACCTCAAAATAAATTGGGCAGGAGTCGCTTTCAATTTGATAGTCGTTGGACTAGTAGTTCTGAAACTAAAGAAAAAAGTGCTAGGAAATTGGTGGGACCAAGTAAATGATACAAGACAATTTAAGTTCTTTACTCAATTAAAAGGTGCACTATGTAACCGGGTAGAGTGGATGTCTAAAGGAACCACCAACTCAGCTCGACATATTAGAGAAGTACGAGATGCTATTGACAAAGCTCGAGAAGCCACCTCAGTGGATTGGGATTTGATTAGGTCGCTAGAATCCCAGCTAACCTCAGGCTATCTACAAGAGGAGATTTTCTGGAAACAAAAATTTAGAACGACTTATCTGCAGTTAGGGGACTTAAATACTCATTTCTTCCACCAATCCACTATTCAAAGAAGGAGAAAAATATTATTAAAATTCTTATAGACGATAATGGGGATCCTCATACTGATGAACAAAGTAAGGTTTCAATATCTGTTGACTTTTTCCCCACCTCTTCACGTCAAATGGAGTAGATTCCCTACCTAGGGTGACTAACCTAGGTCTTGTCAGCAAAGTGGATCCCTTCATGAACTCCTCCTTAACGTCCATGATTTCTCGAGATGAAATTAAGAGAGTTACTTTTACTATCAGAGCATATCAGGCTCCAAGTATAGATGGTTGCACATAACTTTTTTACCAGGCCTATTGGAAGGATATTACATATTAGTAACTCGCCATGTGAGGCTATCCAGTCTTTCTTTCACTAAGGAAGACTCCTCCATAATTTCAACCACACTCTAATTACCCTGATTCCCAAGGTTATGAATGCGGAATACATGAGACAAATGTGACCTATAGGACTATGCCAAGTTTTTTACAAAATTATTGCAAAAAATCATGGTGGACAGACTAAGCCATTTGTTACCACTCATAGTGGGTCCTAACCAAAATGGTTTTATAATGGGAAGATCTATTGTTGAAAACACCCTGATTGGTCAAGAGGTAATGCAATTCCTTAGAATGAAAACCAATGGAAAAGAAAAATAGATGGCGTTAAAACTTGACATGGAAAAGTCTATCATCGTGTAGAATTGGAATTTCGAATAAATGTAATGAAAGCATTGGGATTTAGTGATCAATGGATCAAATGGATCCGTTCTTGTATCACTACGGTCTCCTTCTCGATAATTTTGAATGACTCAACTCATGGGTTTTTCAAACCTCAGCGGGGACTACGTTAAGGGGACCTTCTCTCTCCATTATTATTTGCCATCTACGCAGAGGCCTTTTCGGCTATGATCCAAGCCGCTATATCAAACAATTCTCTCCATGGCCTCCACGTTCATAGGGCGCTTCCATGACCTCTCACCTATTTTTTGTTGATGACTCATATCTCTTTCTTAGAGCCTCAAGACCGGAAATAAAAAATTTGTTGGGATTACTGCAATCATACGAAGCTGCAAGCAGTCAATGAATTAACCTCCAGAAATCGGCTGTTATCTTTAGTTCCAATATCTATGAACAAGAGGCTACAGAATTAGCAAATGCTCTAGGAGCCACCAAAATAGGGACCCATGATCGATACTTAGGGCTTCCATCAAGAATCCATCGATCTAAAATCCTTACCTTTCGATATATTGAGGACTTTTTAGCGGCCCGGATCCAGAAATGGAAATCTAAACATAGGTCATTGGCAGCTAAAGAAGTGGTGATAAAATCAATAGGTACGCCCATTCCATTCTATGCCATGTCATGTTTATGCATCCCTTCTACCCAATGCCGAAGACTTAATAGCCAATTGGCTCGATTTTGGTGGGCTAACCAAGACAAAGACAAAGGAATGCATTGAATTTTATGGTCTGAAGTATGTAATAGTATATTTGAGGGATGTTTGGGATTCAGAGACTTCAATCGATTTAACATAGCCATGTTAGCTAAACAAGCTTGGAAACTTCTAATAGATCCTGACAATACTTTGGCAAAAATCTATAAAGCCCGTTATCAATCTAATGACCATTTTCTAAATGCTAGAGCAGGATCTCGTTCTTCCTATGCTTGGCAAAGTATCCTTGAAGGGAAGAAGCTCCTTAAAAAGGGTCTGCGATGGCAAGTGGGATCAGGGTCCTCAATATACATTCTACAGGATCCATGGATACCTTCAGATCCACCCTCCTATCCAATCCTGAAGACAAGAATGACCTTAGAAGGGCCAGTAGTATCCTACCTTATCGATCCAATAACGTTAAATTGGAACTCTAACAAGATTCTATCTCTATTCTATCCAGCTTCTGCTGAACTAATTTTGTCCATACCCTTACCCTCATCTCCAAGGGAGGATAAACTCATCTCGCAGTATGATAAATCTGGTTAATACACAGTGAAGTCGCGGGGTGCCACCTTTTAACAAATGAAATCAATCCATTTCATAATATTATACCAGACTACTTGGACACAAAGTTTTGAAAATCTTTATGGAGTATACCAATGCCACCAAAACTGAAATTCTTTTTTCGGAAGGTAGTTCAGGGGTTCCTTCGTGTTCACAGAATACTGCAAATTTAAAAATTGGCTACTTCTAGCGAGTGTCTTGTTTGTTGTGAGCCAACCGAGGACATTAATCATTGCTTTTTTTAATGTAGGATTGCAAAAGATTTTTAGATTATGGATGGATTGGAACATCGAAGAAACTCCATGTGCTCCTTCCAACAAGATCTTGCATGGAAAAATCTATTATGCGCTATTCACATCTACAAGATCGAGATTGCTGATACAGTTTTCCTATTCTGGCGAATTTGGAAAGGAAGATGCAAAGCTACTTATGCTTTGGTATTATTTTAAGCTTGAGTTTTGTTCCGACAACTAACAACGCATATAAAGGAGCGAACGGCGGAGGGACAGAAAGCTCGGCAATCCACAGGTGTCCAGAGATGCATCCTAACAAGCCACCAGGATCTCGTAGGAGTCATTCAGATGACACATGCTCTAATAATGGTATACTGGTAAGATTTGACGGAGCCATGAAGAAAAATCAAGGAGGTTCAATCGGATTTGTTGGTTTCTCGAGAGACGGTACATTATTCTTTGCTTTTGGTAAATGTTATGAAAGAATTACAGAGGCTTACATTGCTGAGCTTCTAGCTCGTAGAGATGCTATGATATGGTGCTTAACACATAATTTTTTGGTGGTTCCATTTTGTGGAGATGCTCAACTGGTTATCAAGCACCCTATGGCAAAGAACACTTCTCACTCTCGAGCAGGGGTTGTCTTGGAGGAAGTTCATTCATTTTTCTCATTTTTTGAGTCAGTGTCGTGTCATTTTGCTCCTCGGAGCTTTAATAGAGCTGCCCATATAGTGGCTAAACAAGCTCTTTCATTGGGAATCTTCTTGCTTATGGATTACCGCCTTTTTTTTTGGAGTCCTCCTTGTAACAGAGTTGAGTTTTTGTCCCATGCCCTCTGGACTTGTCTTGAAAAAAAATGTAAAATAGGTTAATTCCAAATCTGATTGGTTTTTCGAACCATTCTTGAAATGCGATACAACTTTGATTGACAAATCCATGCAGTATGGAGCATTTGGTCTCACATGCTCAAGTTAGCACGAACATATGGAGAATATTATACAACTTTGATGGTCGAGAAAGAGAGATGTGGGATGAAGCATGGGTGAGTTCATCTAGATAACAAAAAGACATACAATCCTTGCAATTATGGTTCTAAGTACAATTTGTCACCTCTGTATCTGTGTCCCCACGACATTATTCTTCCTAATAACATTCGTTATCATGTGATTGAATAAACTTTCACTTCACTATTAACTCCTCTAAAATTTTCTTCAGCTAACTAAATTGCTAAAGGATATTTTTTTTAAGATATCCATTTGAAAAAACTTCTTACAAGTTGTTAAAGTTTGGCCAAACAACTTTAAATACTTATGACAAATATTTCGATATTCTATTTTTTCTCTTGATTGCTTAACTCTGTAACGAGTTGAATTAAAATCCAGTCATGTACATCTTGCCTTGTCTCTTATTCTCCATCAGTCAAAACCACTGGAACCCATATTGTAGATAGTACACAACTAACTAAAGTGTCTAAAAGTTACATATAGCCTTTGGAAAAGATTGGAAAAGGCTCTTCTCTATTGGAGCATTATAATAAAAGTTCTTGAACCATCCATCTAATAATGAAAGGAAAAAAAAAAAATGTCAGGGACCAAAGGGGAAACCCACTTTAGCACATTGGAGGGTGATAGTGTGACTGATACTGGAATGTTTGAGGAATCAGATTCCAAAAAGTTCCTAAAGTTGCCTTATCATTTATCAATCACTTAAAATGCCATTAATCTAATCCCAAAATTCCTCTTTCATCCATTTTCGTCCACTTTATATAACAATTTTTTTGCACCTACCAATCAAAGTTCCAATCCCACATTTAATAAATCATTATTGATTCGGGTTCTTGTCTCTTAATAAAAGAGTAGACTCTCAAGTGGTAAGACATGTGGTTGTTACATTGACAAAATTATTTGTCTAAATTATCACTATTATGAATTCTTCGGGTATGCATGCAATCAAATCATCTCAAATGTATACGCTAGATTTGTTGTCGTATTAAATGCTCCGCCAGAGTACAAATAAAAGAATGAAGAACAAGAAACTTAAGGAATGCAAAAAAATATAGTAATGTCCTTACAATCAACCCTTATTCTCTAGATGCTATCTTTTGCAGGTTTTTTTTTCTAATAAGTTCATCCCAACGATACAAACTATTTGTGCTGCCTTGTTTCTCTCTCTTGTTTTGCTATGCGACATTTGTTGTTTAGCGTCTAATGCTTAGGAGATACTTGATTGATCTATAATCCAAGACATAATAATCCAAACAACCCATAATAATAATAATAATAATAATAATAATAATAATAATAATAATAATGGGGAATCCTTCTTATTGTAACCAAACATAAACAAGAATTCACTACCAAAAGGTTCAGTTGGTTCCCTACAATGTACACTTCTCCAAGCAAAATACCAAATAGCAGAATGAAAAACAGCACCTGAAAAAACCTGTCCGAATACCTGAAACCCTAAAAACTGTTTACTTATTCAACAAAAGGAAAGCTAGTATAATCTAAAATCATGATCAGTTGCTTCTGGATTCATCAACAGGGTGCCAGTATCTGTTGTAGAACCACATCGTGTCGGCTTCCATCGGATAACCGTCCTGGTTCCTGTGCCAGCTATAGTGAGCGTGCGTCCTGTTCTTGATATCCAGAATAGCATGCCCAAAGCTCGCCTCCCTGAATGCTGAATACTCCGGCTGCGGTTCAGTCATCCTGCAACCCGAAAAATCGAAATAAGCATAGACCGAACAAGAATCGAAACCACTCGATGAAAGAAAGAGACTTTACTTGTTTGCCAAGCCTTCAACATTTCCACCATCCCCAATTGTGAGGTAAACAGGAGCACTCTGATTCTTCACCGGACTACATTGCTTGTTCACGATGTTGTAAGCCACATTGGAGACGCGTTCCTGACAAAAAAAAAAACAATAAGTTGCTAAGCGTATATGAATAATACGAACCTCGAGATTGTTTCGAATTCGAGCAAGAAACTAGAGTGGGTCGCTTACAGATCGCTCGTAGCCGTGAACATGGCCAGCGATGACAAGGTCGACCTTCGCATCCACGAGCCACGACTCGAACATGACCCTCATCGTCTCGCCTTCCATGTAGTGGTAGTCGTAGCTGTTGTACCACGGCGAATGCAGCATCACAATCAGCCATGGCGTCTCTGTCCTGTTCACTTTGGTCAGCTCTGTTTTCAGCCATTGATACTGAGGTGTGTATTTACCTGTTGTCACCGATTACAAATTTACAAAGTACTCCAATTAGTGTCTAATTGGAAGAATTAATGTAGAGATTAGAGATGGGAAATTCGTTAATTAATTACCGTAGGCAGAGTATGAAGACAAGACGATTATATGTGCTGAAGCTATCCTGACAGAGTACCAAAGAGGAGAAGTGCTTCCAGATGCTTTGAAAGGGACATGGAATCGGTGCAGATATGGCTTGAATGGCTGAGTTTCACCCTGCAAGGAGAAAAAATGCTTATGAAATCATCATTCTTTACGGAATGAATTGTAGACAACAACATGGATGGGAAAGATTGTTACAATTTCGGGGACGAAGTCGAGCTCGTGGTTTCCAGCGCACCAGATCCATGGCTGGTAAGCGACGCTCCTCTCGACGAACCTTCCCCATGTGTCCCATCTGTGCTGATCGTGATTCGGGTAGTTATCGGCGTAAGAGAGATCACCGGCAAACAGCAGGGCCTGTGGTTTCCTAGGGTTCTTCTCGTAGTGGGTGAGTGTGATGTTCGAATCGAAAGTCTGACCAAGATCACCTGCAAACGAGGAAAACCCACCACATTGTCAACAATGTAATCGAAACCCTGAGATCCCCATGACTAAATTGGAATGTTGCAATGGTAAAGATACTAACCAATCATGCCGAATGTGTAAGGGACATCCGGGCCAACCGGTGGAGGCGTTGTGAACACGAATCGTCTCACGGTGTGACCAATTCCAACTTCGTAGTAGTATTTGGTGTCATGCTGCGCGACACGAAAAAGGACTCGCAATCAGATTAGAAACTAACTCTGTATTTCCATAAAGCTACGAGTAAATCGAGACGGACTAGGTCGAGATTTATCGAACGGTACCTCCAATTTTCGGATGGTGCAATGGTGAATGTAGCCAGAAGTGTAGTCATGGAACTTGTAACTCTTGTGTTTCCCGTGAGCATACTTCTTGACTGAGCTCTCGTCTTCCTTCCAGTAAACAACTTCACTCGAACCGGGTTCATCCATCGTCACCCACGACACTATCATTGCGCTCCCTTCCTGATCTCCTAGCGTTATGTGTACCTTTTTTTCCCCCACAAGAATTCGAACAAATAAACAACCCAGTAATTAAATCATGTCAACCCAAAGAGAGAGAGAGAGAGAGAGAGAGAGAGAGAGAGAGAGAGAGAGAGAGAGAGAGAGAGAGAGAGAGAGATTAAGCAAAGATAGAAAAACCTGCTGTGGAGCATTGTAGCCAGAGGGTGGCTGGAAAACGTCGCTATGCAGAGGCATGTCGACGGACTTGGCCTCTCTCCTGACGAAGCTGCTGGTCTCGCCGGCATTGCAGACCACGGCTGAGTTACTCAGAACCAAAAACAGAGCAACCAGAAAGCTGAGGAACAGTGACGACGACGAGCGCTTAAGACCCATGTTCGATTTTTTCGTTGTAAGATTACTGTTGTTGGCCACAAGATTGGACATCGAAGCTCGGGATGGCTTTTATTTATAGGACTGTTATGTCTGCCTTTTCTGACTTGATGTCGGACTGATACTTCTTTATCTGAGAGAGTCGGGGGAATATTCAACAGGATTTGTACAGGTTTCCAGGTTCGTTATGGAACTACGAATTCGACATGGGGATGGTGTTGCCTCTTTGGGTTTCCCATGAAATAGTAGTGTTTGGTTAGGATTAGAAGAAGATTACTACTCGTGGTTAGGACTCTTAGCTCTTGCTTTTGTGTATCTCTAGTCCTAACTAATGAATAAACCGCATCTGGATCCTATGTAAGGTTTGGACCGAACCGTCCTTTGAGATTTCTCATAATCGAATAGGGGTGACTCAATTGAACCAAATCGAGAATTTAGATCAATATAATTGGATATAAATTTATTTGGATTCTGTCTGTTGGAGACATCGAGAAAGTATTGAACATTTATTCTTCAGATGCCCCCTAGCCATCAGATTGTGGACTTTAGTGGGATTGAGCAACTTTATTGAGACCGCCCAGACTGTTAACTTTAGTCTATGGTGGCGACATGTCATGGTTTCCGAGACCACCCCATTCCACATTCTCCAATGCGTTTGTTTACTTTGGAGAATCTGGAAGTCTAGAAATGAAGTGACCTTTGAATTTACCCAACCTCATGTCCGTTCCCTAGCCAGACAGTTCTACAAACAGGTCCTCGAATTCTCCAGTCTCCTTCCTCCCCATCCTCCCCGCAGCTCTCTTCCCCCTTTCATCTCGGCCACTACTTGGGTCCCTCATCCTGAAGGCTTCTTGAAGATCAACGTCGACGCAGCTGTCAGTGCCTTCGGGTGTTCGTCTGGGCTCGTTTTTCGTGGGTCACACGGGCATGTGGTGTTGGCGATCGGGTCACAACATCAAGGGATAGTCAACCCTTATTTGGCTGAGCTGCTAGCGTTCAGGGATGCTATCTCCTTTGTGGCCTCAAGATCCTTGACCCATGTGATAGTCGAAGGTGATTCTGAAGTGGTCGTCAACCAAGTCCGTCAAGGCGTCTCAGAAGATTCGATTGGTGGTCCGGTGCTTCGAGAGTGTCTGCAGATCCTTAGCTCTTTGTCTGCTTGTATAGAGTTTAGAGCGGTACCTAGATCCGCCAACAGTGCTGCCCATAGAGTGGCGCGTAAAGCACTGCTTTTGTCTCTTGTAGAGCTAGAATCTTTTGATTTCTTGGGGTGGCTTCTTTAGAGTGTTTTAGGGGTCCTGGGTAGAATTGTAAGCTTAACTTTTTCTCTCATTGATATCACTCAGAAATAAAAAAAAATTTATTTGGATTCGATTTCATGAGTTTTCTTGAAATTAAAGGAAAAAGTTGTCCAAAATTAAAACCAGCCCGAATGGATCAACATCTTATCAGCGGATGGTGCCGTTGGGTATTCTTAACCACCCACAATAGTGAGATTGTCAATAGTGAGATTGTGTTCGGCTTCTTATTTCTCTATTGTTGATTTAGTTCAACTGTGCTGTGTGTCGTTCCCGGAAGCTCTAAATGTCGATTATTGATTTATATTGCATTTTGTACCAAATTAGTAGTACAGCTTGACAATCGAATGAAAAGGGAGACGGCGGCATGAAATTTGTATCTACAATAATGAGACAGTTATGTGTGTGCAAAAGATCGATAAGTTGAAATAAGATTGAGCGCAACAAAAACAATAGCACAACCACTTCAGGTTTAATCCCATGTCAATAGAAGCAAAATCTGTTTTGCTTCAGCAAAAGACGAACATGTAACCGGTGAAATGTCCATCACTTTGTCACTAGCTTCTACTTTTATTCTGCCATCTCTAACTCTCTTTATAATCTTCATGTCTTTGATTTGGAGATCCATCACTTACATGCGGTTCCACAATGATGATTAGAATTTCTCTCCATAAACTTCTTGCATACATACTGTCAACATAAAAGAACCAACTCAATAAAAAAAAAAAAATTTATTAAGAAAGGAAAGAACGAAACTATCTAGAGGAATGAGTAATGCCTCATGCATAAACCATTATCTACTTGATTCCAAATCCCAGTAATCTAAATATTAAATGGAACAATTCTCGTGATAAGGACATAGACGACTCAAATTTGATTGCAATGTTTTGATAAACCATCAGAAGATCATACATACCTCGACCGCTATTAAGTAATCCTCAGTTGACGTTGCACGTGAATATTCTTCTCGAGTGAAACTTAAACAATTAGGATGGAAATCCTGAAATAGATCGTCAAAAAAAGCATCTTTGTCCACCAGCGTCGAGAAATCCCACTCGATTTTTATATGGTCGACTCTTGGAATTCTACGAGTTTTTTCCCCCTACAGAATAGACGCGCTTAACAATCTGAATTTCTTACCGTCAATGTCCAGGTTTTTTAGATTCGACATGGGAGACACCACGAAATTGCCTCTCAATGGGGCTTGAGTGATGCGTAAGGTTTCCAGAGAGTGGACTCCTGTGATCTCTAAATCCTCCACTGGGTAATCGTGAATGTCAAGGACTTTCAGGTTGCCAAGATTTCGAAACTGAAGCCTCCAAATCCCCGGAACGACGTACAGAAACAACTTCTGCAAGAGCGAGGCACCGGCAATGATGCTATTGAGAATCTGACCGCCGGCGGGAAAACTGACTTTGGTGAGAAAGAGCTGCCTGAGGGAGCTGCCAAGGTCCGCGAAATGGTTGCTGTTGATCTCCATATCCCTGAACTGATCGAAATTGCAGTTGACCAGCTTTAGAATTTTGAGGCGAAATCGGTGGTTAGGGTTGGAATTGGATCTGGGTAGCAATAAGCCCCACGGGATCGTCGAAATCGAGATACCTGAAAGTCTTGCGATCAACTTCGGCTACAATGTGAATCTCTTGGGGCGGGGGAGATGTCTTTGCAGCCAACTCCAACATGTCATCGAGGAAAGCAGAGCAGAATTTTACGTCCCACTCTTTTTGTGATGATTGAGCTTGATTCTAACGGCCTCTATGGCGACCAGGGTATCGCCGCTTCTACGACTGAACTTTTCCGACGCGGCGGCGGCGAATTTCTCCGCCGATTGGGTCGAATCGAATTGGGTACAATCGAAGTCGAGGATTGGGTAAGATCGCCAGAGCTTGAACCATCTTTGGGATAGGACGCTGTCACGCCCTGGGAGCTGAGAGACTTGGCGATGGAGGAATTCTCAGTAGAGAGGAAGCAGAAGAAAAGAGAACAGAGAAGAGAGAGAGAGAGAAGAGAGAGAAGGGAAAGTGAATCTGTTATTGATCAGCTGAAAAGTAGTTACAACGGTCCTGGCGCCTTTCCTTTATACTACTAATACAAAATTACCACTCCACTCCCTCACTTCTAATTCTATACAGTTTAGTCCGCTCGTTACAACTCCCCATTCCTTCACAGAAAGCTTGTCCTCAAGCTTCAAAATCTGGAAATCGCCTGTGAAAATCAGCCCATCCTTCCCACGTAGCATCCTCTTCAGATTGGTGAGACCACTGCACCAAAACCTGCGTCAAAGGCTTGTTGTCCTGTGCAATCACTTGCCTGGCCAGAATAGCCAAAGGAGCCAACTTGAGCACACCCTGATCATCCATCACTGGTAAGGTTGGCTGGACCTGCAGAGAGTCATTCAACTTGGCCTTCTTCAACAACGAAACATGAAAAACAGGATGAATGGAGGATTCAGCTGGCAGTTGCAGTTTGTAGGCTACAGCCCCAATCTTTTGCACAATTGGAAAGGGACCAAAAAACTTGGGAGCCAGCTTCTGGTTGACCCTATTAGCAACAGAGGTTTGACGATAGGGTCTCAACTTGAGATAAACCAAGTCACCTTCCTGCAAAGTCCTCTCAGTCCTGTGAGCATCAGCCATCTGCTTTTGCTTGTTCTGAGCCTTAGCCAAGTTTTGGCGCAAAATGTCCACCAAACGATGCTGCTGTTGCAACCTGTCAGCCACTGCTGCTACAGAGGTAGAGAGAGGATTCTGAATGGAGAAATGAGATGGAGCATACCCATATAAGGCCTCAAAAGGAGTGAGCTGAAGGCTGCTGTGGAAATTGGTGTTGTACCACCATTCTGCAAGTGACAACCATCCAAACCATTTATGTGGACAGAGATGAACCATACCCCTCAAGTATTCCTCCAAACACCTATTCAGCCTTTCAGTCTGGCCATCAGTTTGTGTATGGTAGGCAGTAGAGTAATGTAACTTTACCCCTTGTAATTCAAACAATTTGGTCCAAAAGGAACTAGTGAACAAGGCATCCCTGTCAGACACAATAGTGGTAGGCATGCCATGCAACTTAAACACCCCATCAAAGAACACCTGGGCTACTGTCACAGCTGTATAGGGTTTGGACAGGCCAAAGAAATGCCCATACTTGAAAAAACGATCAATCACCACCAACACAGCATCCTTTCCCCCTGAAGTGGGCAACCCCTCTATGAAGTCCATGGAAATGTGCTTCCATGCTTGATCAGGTATTGGAAGAGGCTGTAAAAGACCAGGATAGGGTATATTCTCAATCTTACACTTCTGACAAACTTCACAAAGACTGATATAGTTCTTAAGGTCAGACTTGATTCCAGGCCACCAAAAATATCTCCTCAGCCTCTGATAACTAGCTTGCACTCCAGAATGACCCCCCACTGGTGAGTCATGGAACAACTGCAACAGTTGCTTCCTCATCTCCCCACTGCTTCCCACATAAATGGCTGTCTTATGATAAAGTAGCCCTTGAGAAAACCAATACAGCTTAGGACCAACAAAAGGAACAGCAGCTTCTGCAATCAACTGCTGACTCACCTGATCACCCTCATAGGTAGACTCCAACTCCCCCAACCAAGCTGGTAAGACAGCAGACACAGGACAGCAACTCCCAACCGTAACCATAGAAGTGACAAAACTAGGATGTCTGGATAGTGCATCAGCTACCTGATTGAATTTACCCTGTCTATATTGAATTTCAAAGTCAAGACCTAACAGCTTAACCATACTCTTCTTCTGTATCTGTGTATGGATTTTCTGTCCAAGCAAATGCTTCAGACTCTCATGGTCAGTTACTATCTTAAACTGCCTTCCTTCTAAGTAATGGCGCCACTTAGTTACTGCCAATATCACAGCCAGATATTCCTTCTCATAGGTAGAAAGACCCTGCTTCCTAGGCCCCAAAGCCTGACTGTGGTAAGCTAAAGGTCTCCCTTCTTGAGATAAGACAGCTCCAATTCCCACCTCACTGGCATCAGTTTCCAACACAAAGGGCTTAGTGAAATCAGGTAAGGCTAGGACAGGAGCAGTTACCATTGCTTGTTTGAGAGTATTGAAGGCAGATTGAGCTGAGTCTGACCAAGCAAAACTGTCCTTTTTGAGCAAATCAGTGAGTGGTTTACCAATCACTCCATAATTCTTGACAAACTTCCTGTAGTAACCTGTGAGACCAAGAAAACCACGTAGCTCCTTCACATTCCTTGGCTCTGGCCACTTAACCATAGCTTCAATTTTGGCAGGATCTGTAGTAACCCCCTCCTGATTGATTATGTAACCCAAATAGTCTATCTGAGTTTGGCAAAAACCACATTTGGATGGCTTAGCATAGAGAGAATTCTCCCTCAACACAGTTAATGCTGCTGCCAAATGTTGTTTGTGACTCTCCTGGTCAGGACTGTAAATCAAAATATCATCAAAAAATACCAGAATGAACCTCCTGAGATAAGGGCTGAAGATTTTGTTCATCAAAGCCTGGAAGGTTGCAGGGGCATTGGTGAGGCCAAAAGGCATCACAGTGAACTCATAAAGACCCTGATGTGTCCTGAATGCAGTCTTGTGCTGATCCAAAGGGTCCATCCTAATCTGGTGGTAACCAGAAAGTAAATCAAGCTTAGTGAAAAACATTGATCCCCTGAGCTCATCCAGTAGATCATCAATGACAGGGATAAGAAATTTATCCTTAATGGTAAGATCATTCAATTTCCTGTAATCAACACAAAATCTCCAGGAACCATCTTTTTTGAGAACTAGCAACACTGGAGAAGCATAAGGGCTCCTGCTAGGCTGAATATACTGAGCTGCCAACATCTCCTTCACAAGCCTATCCATTTCATTCTTTTGAGGAATTGAGTACCTGTAAGTTCTGAGATTCACAGGATGGGAATTTGGTTGTAGTGGTATGGTGTGATCACAGTCCCTTGATGGAGGTAGGGACTGAGGTTTGCCAAAAACATCACTATACTCCTTCAAGACTGAATCCAGAAATGGAGGATGGGTATTGCCACTGCCCTGCTTAGGCTTCCCTTCCAAATTACTTAGAACTTCCAGACTGCAAAGCTGTCCCACAAAAACAATTTCTGACTTATCCCATAACTTCTGCAAACTCTTGCCTGATATCATCTTGCACTGAGCTGTGTCCTGAATACCCTGCAACACCACTTCCTGTCCACCCCAATCAAAATATAGCTTTAAGTCCACAAAATCAAACTTGACTGGGCTAATGGTTCTGAGCCAGTCCAATCCCAAAACTGCATCATTGGATCCTAAACTGAGGATCCTCATATCATACTGGAATGCCCTACCATGCATCTCCCAACAAAATCCCTTGCAAACCCACTGACTGAGTAAGACAGTGCCATCAGCAAGCTTAACTCGCAAAGGATGACTGGCTGGCTCAAGTTGGCAATGAAGTTCCTTGGCTTTCCTCTCACTGAGGAATGTGTGAGTACTTCCAGTATCCAATAGAATGAAAATTTTCTCCTTCTTCACCTTGCCTTCAACGATGAAAGAGCTAGCCAGACCACCACTATTGAGGGTCTGCATTGATACCTCTTCTAACTCAGGCTGCTCCATTTCTGAATCTGGATTCAACACTTCCTCCTCATACACTCCACTCCTGTCATCAACCAGGAGCTCTTCCTCACCAGCCTGGAGCACATTGAGCTGCTTCTTAACACCACACACATGCCCAAAGAAATAACGATCTCCACATTTGTAACAGACTCCCCTGGCACCATTATTCTTCTGAGGAATCACAGGAGATTTTGCCCCCCCTGATGATTTGGCCGGTGGTCCTTCCCAACGACGAGGAGGAGCAGAAGAACTGCTTGGATTGTCACGCCCTGGAGCTGAGAGACTTGGCGATGGAGGAATTCTCAGTAGAGAGGAAGCAGAAGAAAAGAGAACAGAGAAGAGAGAGAGAGAGAAGAGAGAGAAGGGAAAGTGAATCTGTTATTGATCAGCTGAAAAGTAGTTACAACGGTCCTGGCGCCTTTCCTTTATACTACTAATACAAAATTACCACTCCACTCCCTCACTTCTAATTCTATACAGTTTAGTCCGCTCGTTACAGACGCTGGCTTTTGCAGCTTCCTTTTGGGATTCTACCCGTGCGAGTATCCTATGGATGATTTCGTCCGGTAATTCTGAGATCCGGTCTACTTCTTTTTAGCCGCCGATCGGGATTGTCTCCAGGTGACGGCGTTTGTAATCTGAAGACATGGTCTTTAGGGACGGGTGGGATTTGGGAAGAGCAGAAGATGAAGAACAGAGGGTTTTTTTATTCAACCTCTCTCTATTGCCAGTTCTGCGCTTCACTAAAAGAGATAAAATTCAACCTCTGTTGGGCTTTAGGCTTAGTGATAGGCTCAGCCCAAAATGCAAAACTAGTATCCAAAATGCAGTTACTAGTATTCGTGTGTGTTTAGGAATTACTCGCTATGTATTTAGGAATTACCTCTCTTCTTTATTTTGAAAACTATACTCTTCCTTCTCTTTAATCATTTTGATCCGATTTGGTCTTGCTCATCTTTGAATCATTGGAGATTGGAGTTTCTCTTCGCGTCTACGAATATTGTCCGGATTTGATTTGCTTCTCCAGAGCCATTGGTCTGCCGGCGGCTGCGTTTCCCCATGGTTTAGGCCTTAGATGGGGGAGGTGGGAAACATAAAGAACATCGGCTTCGTGGATTGAGTAAATTGATAATTTAATTAACCCATCAGATTTTGGCTTGATATTGTGTAAGTTCACATAGGACTGCAAAGGAGTCGAGCTAAATTGAATTTTGTCTAGTTCTGCTTAGGCTTGTTTAATAAAACATTGAATCATGTTTGTCTCGATTTTGACTCAAGCTCGACTTGTTAATGAGCTCACAAGCTCTACTCGGTTTGACTCATCAATAAGATAAGGATTTTGGCTCGAACTCAACTCATTTATTCTAAATAGTTGAACTCTTAAACTGAACCCTAAAATAATTTATAAATGACATAACCTAATATGTTTATGTCATGTATGACATATGATATTGATGTCATAATGAAAATGGTCAATACCTTAAATTGGTCCGAACTATATACTAAAATACTAATTTGGCCAGTACCTTCTGAAATAGCTATTCTAGTCTAAACTATTCACTATATAGACTAATTTGGTCGAACTCATGAGTTAACCGTCAAGTTGGATGGTCAACTAATCATGTCATTACCTCGTCAAGTTGACCGAATTGAAATTAGAGTGAATTGAACAATATCTTGTCAAATGAATGATCTCAATTCGGTCTTCTTCACCGCCACCAATGGTAAGCTGTTGTTGCTCTTCGAATTTCTTCATTATTGGTTTTGTCAACCGTGATAGGTGCCATTCCCATAAGCTCTAACACCGGTTATTGTACCTTACTGAACCGAAAAGGAATATGTGATATAGTAGTAGTATAGCTCAAAATTCAATTGAAAAGGAAGACTATAATTAGTATCTATTTTTTTTTTTGGTAGAAAAACTAAGAACAAAAGATAGACTATCTTATAGTATCTATTGTTCTACTATAATGAGATAGATAGTACGTACAAAAAGATCGATAAGTACAAATAAGATTGTTCGCAACAAAACTATAGCACAACTACTTCAAATTTAATCCCAAGTCAATAGGAGCAAAATTTGTTTTGCTTCAGCAAAAGACGAACATGTATCCGGTGAAATGTCCATAACTTTGTCACCATCTTCAACTTTTATTCTGCCATCTCTAACTCTCTTTATAATCTTCATGTCTTTGAATTGGTGATGCCAACACTTACATGTTGTTCCACAATGATTATTCGAATTTCTCTCCATGAACTTCTTACATACATACTGTCAACATAAAAGAAACCAACTCAACCACAAAAAATAAATTTATTTATTAAAAACGGAAAGAATGAAACTATCTATAGGAATGAGTAATGCTGCATGCATAAACATCCACTTGATTCCAAATCCCAGTAGTCTAAATATTAAATGAAACAATACTCGTGATAAGAAGATAAACGACTCAAACTTGATTGCGATGTTTTGATAAAAAACCATCGAAGATCATACATACCTCGACCGCCACTAAGTAATGCTCAGTTGACGTTGTATACGAATATTCTTCTCGAGTAAAACTTAAATAGTTAGGATGGAAATTCTGAAACAGGTCGTCAAAAAAAGCATCTTTGTTGATCAATATTGAGAAATCCCACTCGATTTGTATATGTTCAACTCTTGGAATAGGCGACTTTTCCTGAAATTCTTCCCAATGATGCTGCATATAATACGATTCCGTAAATAAACACACATATGAGTACGAAATCAATCGTCAACTATCCACATTTTTTCAATAGATGATGATGGTTTGGTAGCACAAGGCATGTGTTGCAAGTGATACCGAGTTAAACATATATTCGAACAAATCAAAAAGATTATTGAAGCATAATTAAGTAAAAGATTATTTCCACATACCTCATAGCTTTTCGAAAGTAGAAATCAAGAGTTAGGCGAAACCAAAACTGTGTTAGTTGCGCAAGAAATTTTCTCAAAGCGTGGAATTCTTTTTCATCAGTTCCGAAGCTCCAGTATCGTGCTTCCAGAGATTGACGAGCTTCCTTGCGATAGCTACCAACCTCGCCTAAGATTTTAATGAAGAAATCAATCCTTCCAGAGTATCGGAAATCACACAGTTTTGGAGCCTTCATTTCAATCGCCCGCAATTGAGCCCAGCAAGACAGACAAAGACGCCAAAGCTTGTCAGCATTGAAAATCTTCAGTTCTTGTACTTTAGCAAGACCTCCCACAGAAAGTGACTCCAAAGATGGAGACTTCGAAATCAATTCATCGAACTTTTCCTGCGTCAATTTGCTTGCATCTGGGAATTATAAACATAGAGTGAGATTTTGCAGGGGGGAAAGGATGGAACTGAGAGCTTGACAATCTGAATTTCTTACCGTGAATGTTCAGTGATTTGAGATTCGGCATCGAAGACACCACGAAATCACCTCCCAATGGGGCTTGAGTGATGTACAAGGTTTCCAGAGAGTGGACTCCCGTGATCTCTAAATACTCCACTGGGCATTCGTGAATGTCAAGGACTTTCAGGTTGTCAAGGTTCCGAAACTGAAGCCTCCAAATCCCCGGAACCACGCACAGAAACAATTCCTGCAAGAGTGATGCACCGGCAATGATGCTACTGAGAATCTGACAGCCGGCGGGGAAGCTGACTTGGGTGAGGAAGAGCTGCCTGAGGGAGCTGCCAAGGCCCGAGAAATGGTTGCTGTTGATCTCGATATCCTTGAACCGATCGAAATTGCAGTTGACCAACTTGAGAATTTTGAGGCGAAATCGATGGTTAGGGTTGGAATTGGATCTGGGTAGCAGTAAGCCCCGTGGGATGCTGTATGTCCCCGAACCATCGAAATTGAAATGGCTGTAAGTCTTGCGATCAAATTCGGCTTCAATGTCGATCTCTTGGGGCGAGGGAGATCTCTTTGCAGCCAAATCCAACATGTTATCGAGGAAAGCAGAGCAGAATTTTACGCCCCACTTCTTTCGACGAGTGAACTTGATCCTGACGGCTTCCACAGCGATACTACGACTGAACTTTTCCGACGCGGCGGCGGCGAATCTCTCCGCCGATTCGGTCGAATCGAATTGGGTATTGTGGAACTCGAGGATTGGGTAAGATCGCCAGAGCTTGGACCATCCATGGGACAGGACGCTGGCTTTTGCAGCTTCCTTTTGGGGGTCTACGAGTGAGAGAATCCTATGGATGATCTCGTCCGGTAATTCCGATATCCGGTCTACTTCTTTTTCACCGCCGACGGCTGCGGCCGGGATTGTCTCCAGGCGACGGCGATTGCAATCTGAAGACATGGTTTAGGTTTTAGGGGCGGGTGGGATTTGGGAAGAGCAGAAGTTGAAGAACAGAGCGCGTTTTATTCAACCTCTGTTGGGCTTTGGGTTTGGTGGTTGGTGCAGCCCAATATTTCAATTTGGCAGGCTCAGTTCTCCCTGGGTTGCACAATTAATAATTAAACTCAACTCAGGTTGATTTGGGCTTGGTGTAGCCCAAGTTTTATATTAGTCAGTACCCATATACTACCAGTTTTGCCTCGTCAGTCGTCACCACTCACCACTGGCAAAACTAATCCTCATGGCTTCTTTGGCGAGGCCGCGAGGGTAAGGGTGTCCTTAGGGGAATTGGATTTGGTACCTAATCATTTGTTTGAATGTTGATTGTTGAGCGGATAAATTTTTCTAAATACATGGGTGATTATCAAATACAGTTGTCCAAACTCACTCTTATTGAGCATTTCAGAGACGGTGACGATGAATTTCTTACCATGCTCTGTTTTCGAAATTCAGGATCGAATAAAATTACCGGAGCTTGATCCATCTCTGCTCGGAACAAGATGTTGACTTCAAGACTCAAGCAAAAGAGGATCTTATAGAGTTAATTATCAAACAAACATATTTCACAAATGGGTGGATGAGCCTATCATTGTGCTACATGACCTACCTTCCTTTATAGCTTCAGGATTGGTGATTGGTTCAAAAGTTATCCTTCATGAGTGATCATTGGGCAGACATTGATATGAGAACTTATTAGTAATATATGACAGTTATCGAATATGGTGTCTTAAACACTCATTCGTGGTTTTGATTCAACTTATGTGAGGAGAGGAAGAGGAAATTAGAAATTAGTAGCCTATAATCCTAAAACTTAAATTAATGTGGATTTTTTGTGGAAACTAATTTTCTGGGGAAGCAAAATAACATCATTGTCGGTAAAAAATCAAAAGTACAAAAAAATAATCAAAGAGCGCTAACAAAATTAGAGCAAAATCACTATAACTTAATCCCAAGTCAACAAGAATAGAACTTGTTTCGCTTCAGCAAAAGACGAACATATGTCTGTTGAAATATCCATCACTTGATCTCTATCTTCTACCCTTATTTCACCATCCATAACTCTTTTTATTATCTTCATATCTTTGAGTTGATGTTGCCAACAGTTACATACAATTCCACAATGATTTTCATCAGAATCTCTCTCCATAAACCGTTTGCATATATACTGTCAACCAACAAAGAAAAACCAACTCAGTTATTCTGTCAATAAATCATGTGTTCACAAAACTACTAGAGAAAGATTAACGATGTCTCATGCTCAAAGATCGAATGATATCATACTTGTAATTGTAACCAAAGAAAATATAGGAAAGAAAGTTATAATTTTTAGTTAGAATTTGGACTCATAGGTATGTTTTCTTATATAAAAAAAAAGAGTAAGGACCCTGGCAAGGAAAGGGTTGAGACTTCATGCAGAAAGAGGGGAGATTAAGGGATTTTTTTTGTTGGGTAGACAATAGAATATCATACATACCTGGAGAGTTAATGTTAAGTCTGCATTTGTTGCTGATGATAGATTGAAACTTAAATAGTTAGGATGAAAATTCTGAAATAAGCCATTGAAGAAAACATTATTGTCAAGAGATTCCCATAAATTATTCGAGATCTTCACATGTTCAATTTTTGCAATAGACAACTTCTCCCGAACATCTCTCCATTGACACTGCAAATAATACAATATATTAAATAAGCAACACACACAAAACTAGGAATCGATTGATAACTATACAATTTTGTTCATTGGGCATGTCAGTTTGGTACAACTAGGCATTTACGAATTTCTAAGTAATGTCAAGATAAATATATTCCAACGAATAAAGAAAAAGGACGTATTGAAGTACATTATACAAAAAATATGTAAACGTACCTTATAACTTGATAGAAAGTCGACTTCCAGAGTCAGATGAAACCAACATTGTGTCAGTTGCGTAAGAAATTTTCTCAAAATGCGGCAATCTTCGTCCATTTCAAAGCTCCGATATTGTGCATTAAGAGGTTGGCCACCTTCTTTGCGATAATTACTAGCCCCAACTAAGATTTTAATAAACAAATCAACCTTTCCACAGTATCGGAAATGATAGAGCTCCGGAGCATTCATTTCAATCACTTGCAATTCATCCCAAGAAGTCAGATCTACTTTCCAAAGCTTGTCATGGTTGAAAATCTTCAAGTTTTGTACTTTATTAAGACCTCCCAGAGAAAGTGACTCCAAAGATGGGGAATTCGAAATCAGTTCATCGAACTTCTGCTCTGTCAATTTGCATGCCCCTGAAATGAAATACATTTAACATAAAATGAAATTCCGCGAGGAAAAGGATGAAACTGATAAAACTAACAGCTTGATTTTGCGGGGCACGGCTTGACAATCTGGATTTCTTACGATGAATTGATAGCCCTTTGAGATTTGGCATCGAAGACACCAAAAAGTCACCTCCCAAGGGTGCATTACTGATGTGCAAGTCTTCCATAAAGGGGACTCCTGTAATCTCTAAATCCTCCACTGGGAATTGGGCAATCAACAAGAACTTCAGATTGGGAAGATTCCGAACCTGAAGCCTCCGAATCCCCACAATATGGAACAGGTGCAAACACCACAAGCAAGAGGCACCACCGGCTATGATGCTATTCAGAATTCGGTCGCCGCCGTCGGGGAACCTGACTTCCCACAGAGAAAGCACACTGAGGGGGTTGCCAATGCTCACAAAAGGGTTCCTATGGACATTGTTCACGTCGATATTGATGTCCTTGAACTGATCAAAATTGCAGTTGACCAAATTAAGAGCTTCGAGGCGAAATTGGTGACAGGGTTTTGGTAGCAATAGGCCCCGTGGGATGCTGTATGTCCCCGAACCATCGAAATTGGGAACTCTGTCACTGTTTATGTCAAAGACGGCTGTAATATTAATCTCTTGGGGCGGGGGAGATCTGTTTGCTGCCAACTCCAACATGTCATCGAGGAGAGCAGAGCAGATTTCTACCGGCCACTTCTTTTCACCATTGAACTTGATTCGGACGGCTTTCATGGAGATCAGGGTATCGCCGCTTCTACGACTGAACTTTTCCTTGGCGGCGTCAACGAATCTCTTCACCGATTGCGTCGATTCAAATTGGGTATCGTGGAATTCAAGGATTGGGTATGATCGCCAGAGCTTAAACCATCTTTGGGACAGGATGCTGGCTTTTGCAGCTTCCTTTGGCGAGCGTAGGAGAGCGAGGATCTCATGGACGACCTCGTCGGGTAAGTGCGAGATCCGGTCTACTTCTTCTTCGCCGTCGCCGGCTGCTGTCCGGATTTGGATTGTTTCTCCAGAGCCATTGGTCTCCCAGAGGCGGCGTTTGCAATCTGAAGACATGGTTTAGGGATGAATGGAAAAACAGGGGATAACAGAGGGTTTTCAATTTTTCAATTCATCGCTATTGGGTTAGGGATTGGTAGTTGGATTTGGTCCAGCCCAAAATTCACTTATGTTATGTCTACCTTTCACCAGGCGGAGATGATGGAAAGGGAGGAAAATTCTACTCCAATCTTGGCGGGACGCACAAGCTTCAATTTTGGTTGGATGGAGAAACTTCAACCAAGCCACATGTCGGATTCTTATTAGTGAGTTTAATTTTATTTTATATATTTTAATTTTTTATTTATTTAGTATAATTGAGAACATTAAATATTAAGAAAAAAGAAAGGCGAGTCCACAAATAACAATTTGACATGTGGCTGGTTGGAGCTTCTTCATCCAACCAAGGTTGGAGCTAAGAATTTTTCGAAAAGAGAAGGCTGAGGTGGAAAACGCAGGGAGAGAAATGAGGTCACGGAGGTCACGGGTTGAGAAGAGTCGGGTTGATTAGGGTAAATATTCGATGATTAGACTATTACGTTTGTCACGTCGGCACATAATGGACTTAGTTAATGGAGTTGGACAAAAACTAACAGCGAGTAACCAAACGTGAAAACCAGCAACGAAACTTGCAATTTACTTCATGAAATTATGAACATAGATACAGTATCTCTGACGTATACCCACAAACTCTTGATTTTACATTTTAAATAGTTCCAAACATTCCCAAGTTTTTTTTTAACCAAACATTCCCAAGTTGTAGATAAAACAAAACTGAAAAAACCCTATATATAGTGAAAAAACACGAAAATATAAAACAAAAAAGGAAGAAAGCTCCTTCAAAGCTCAAACATTGCACAATACCTCCTTACTGAATTCTTCTTCTGCTCTCTCTAACCATAATTTCGTCGATAAACCAATAAATTGATTAGCCCTAACCTCAAGTTCCTCCTCACATAAACATCAAAGAGGGTAAAAAAAGGTAATAAAGTAAACTTTCGGGCCAAGAAACATGTAATGTACAAAATTTACTTCAAATGTTGATGCTGAACTCTTTCACCTATAGTAGTAACCCCTTGTTTTCATCCTAAGCAGCAATTCCTGAAACACCATCAAAACCCGAAACACCTTGTTTTCTCTCATGGCAGAAAAAGGACTTCTTTGTAATTTTTTCCAAATTCGAATACAATAATGCAAGAGAAAAAATTTATAAGCAGAAATATAATTTTACCATCTAAATTTGTATTCTTGATTGTTAAAAAAAGGTTAAGTATCAATAAAAAAAAGGTTACTTTTCCTAGAAGTTAAAAAACTACGCCTCTTTTACCTCTCCCACGATTAGCGGTTACGCGACTTTGGGGATCCATCGCCGTTCGTGCGAAGCTGCTTCCGCCTCTCTCCGGCGACGTGGCCCCCGCTTCCCGGCGGTGTGGGCTTGATGAGTGCCTTCATCGGCATTATAAGGCGCCCCTTGTGGCCTTTTAGGGTTCATCGATTGCAATTTTCCCCTTATCCCCTTGAATTGCAATCGGCGCATCCCCTCTTCTCTGTACTTCTCGAGATGGCTACCACGATTTCTGCCGTATTCACTGATGAAACGGTCGCTATTTCTGAAGAACGTACCGGCCTCAGCCTCATCGGGCGAGTAT